CCGTTAGTCGCCTTTTACAACAAGCATATTCACCTTTTACGGCAAGCATGGGTTGCTGAAGACCTATTCTACCTTTGTCAAACACCTGTCAGTAATTAACGCAGGCGGTGCGTTTTATAGCGTGAACAGGGCGGTCGGGTAGCCTAGTGGTTAAAGCGTTCGCTCGTCACGCCGAAGACCCGGGTTCGATTCCCGACATGGGTACAATGTGTGAAGCCCATTTCTGGTGTCCCCCGCCGTGATATTGCTGGAATATTGCTAAAAGCGGCGTAAAACCATACTCGCTCACTCACTATAGCGTGAACAAATTGTTCCCACTGTGGGGAGACAATGATTCAATCAGTCATGTTATATATTAAGTGAGTGAGTGAGTTAATATTTAACGTCACATCGGCAATATTTCAGCCATATCGTGACGAGAATTAATACATTAATAACAAATAAGTATATATAATTTATAAAAAAACCTGTCAGCAAAGGACAGTACAATAACTAGAATATCACAGAGTGTATTAAAACTAGTTGAGGAACATATAAAAGCAATAAGAATTAACAACACAATATAAAAATGGGCTAGAGATCGTCAGTAACTAAAGGGAGAACACCATACCAGGGACCATGGGGGCATCATAGGCTGACTCTTATGGCAAATTTTGCATCACTAGGGACGAATGCCCCGTGAGTAACATGATATACAGTTGTTTGCTTAATAATTCCTTATTGCTTAATAATTGCAGTTGTAGGTACCTGGATGCCAATGTGACCATGTCAGCGGGATGGAGGGAGGGGATGAAAAACATTCCCGTGGAATTCCGCCATCGCCCAGCTCCATTCATTAAACACATGAGGGAGCTTGGGCAGAAATCTGCTGACATCACTGTAGACATGGTGAAGGAGGCCTGTATGAGGTTAAAGCAGATGACACTAAACACGCTTATAGTGTCTTCTTGGGTAGTGAGGAAACCAAATCCATTCCATCATGCACTTGTCGTCAATTCTGTGAGGTTCATCTACCTTGCACATACTTTGCAGCTGTGTTCCGACATGTGCCTAGTGCGAGTTGGACTTCACTGCCAAACTTCTACAGGTCTCATCACTGTTGACGATGGTTGTGTGAACCTTCTTCCCCCAAACACTAAAGCATCTGAAGAAATGTCCCCGTCCCAATCTGCCACCAACAATCATGATTGCCTTGATCAAGATAGATATCTACCATGATATTCGGTGGAAGACTCATCTCTGTACCTGACAAGAAGTATTAAGTCTGTGAGGGAGGTGATTGCTGCTATATAAAGCCTAACATACCTGGTAGATGCTGCAAAGGCTCCGCAGAAAGTTGGTTGGATGGTTAGTTTGTTGTTTAACGCCGCACTCAGCAATATTACAGCTATATGGCGGCGGGCTGTAAAAAAAAAATAGATTATGGACCAGACAATCCAGTTATTGATACCATGAGCATGTACATTGTGACCCGTGAAGTTTCCGGGTTAGAATAGGTCTTCAGCAACCCATACTTGCCGTAAAAGGCGACTAACGGGATCGGGTGGTCAGGCTCGCTGAATTGATTGATACATGTCACCGATCCCAATTGCGTGGACCGATGCCAATCACTGGATTGTCTGGTCCAGACCCGATTATTTTACAGACGCCGCCATATCGCTGAGTGCGGCGTTAAACAACAAACCAACCAACCAACTACAATAAGTTGTATAATAAAATATTTATCCTATCTCACTCTATGCATTTCATCCTTCGATCACTTGTGTGAAAACATCCTTCAACAAATGTTTCAAAATTCTTTCTTGGCGCTCATAGGATAAGTTTTTTCTATTAATGATTAAGTGTACTACACGCCAAACATTCATGACATCAGCTCACATTACCTACAACACTAAAATAAATGTGCTAACACACTCAAATGGTTATAAATGCGTTCCTGAAAAAAATCACGGAGGACGGAAACATTGCTCTGGAAACATTGTCAGTATTGATTCTATACAGATAATTGATTCCATGTCAAAGGTAATGGTACATGTATTTGGGGATTAATATGTTTCCACAATCAAACAAAAATGACAAACAATGGACATATATTACAAACATCACTGTTTCTGAATATTTGTGACCGATGTATTCGATTTAGGTGCTAACATTATAATATTTGTGTAATGCTAAGTGTTTGTTATTTTACTCACTTCATGTCAGTGTGCATTAATTTGAGTATCCTTTAAATACATTTCAAAAAATTTCTTACAATATATAAACTGGACCCGTGAAGATTCCGGGGTAGAATAGGTCTTCAGCAACCCATGCTTGCCGTAAAAGGTGACTATGCTTGTGAAAGGCGACTAACGGGATCGGGTGGTCAGGCTCGCTGACTTGGTTGATGCATGTCATCGGTACCGTTAATAGATGCAGACCCGTGAAGATTCCGGGGTAGAATAGGTCTTCAGCAACCCATACTTGCCGTAAAAGGCGACTAACGGGATCGGGTGGTCAGGCTCGCTGACTTGGTTGATGCATGTCATCGGTCCCAATTGCGTGGATCGATTCTCATGATGTCAATCACTGGATTGTCTGGTCCAGACTCGATTATTTACAGACCGCCGTCATATAGCTGGAACATTGCTGAGTGCGGCGTTAAACAACAAACCAACAAGATGCTCATGGTGTCAATCACTGGATTGTCTGGTCCAGACCGCCGTCATATAGCTGAGTGCGGCGTTAAACAACAAACCAAACCAATCAATATAAACTGGACCACTTACAAGTCATCACAACTTCAATGACGTCTTAAAAATGAATGTACAATAGGAATTGTGTATTTTATATTTTAGAAATAATGGGTTGGTTGGTAAGAGAAAGCTGTCTGTACACTCTTATCATGACCTGTTAACTACGTTTGGGTCGTGGAAGTCGATGTTTGTGAAGATCCGTGGTAGAATAGGTCTTCAGCAAATCATGCTTGCCATAATAGGCGATTATGAAAAGTTGATGCATGTCATCGTATCCCAATTGCGTGGATCGATGACCATGATGTCAATCACTGGATTGTCTGGTCCAGGCTCGATTTATTTATATAGACCGCCGTCATTTATTGCCGTGTGCGGCGTTAAACAACAAACAAACATACATATAAAATGTCAACTGCAGAGGGATTTTATCGAAAAAAAATGAATTGTCCCCGAAAATATCTTAAAACAAATAATTATGCCTCAGACTGTTGATTACCCGTGAAAATCCGGTGTTAGAAATTTAAAGGTCTTCAGCAACCCATACGTGTAAGAGGCGACTTACGTGATTGCGTGTTCAAGGCTCGCTGACGCATATCATCGTATCCCATTTGTGTGGATCGACGATCATGATATCAATCACTGGATTGTCTGGTCCAGACTCGATTATTTGCAGACCACCGTCATATAGCTGAAATATTGCAGTATGCGGCGTTAAACACAACAAAAACAATCTGCCTACCTGTAAATTACAATTCCCTTCCACTTATTTACCCACATGAACTAAAAGAATGGAGACCACACTCCACAATACATCTGGTTCGCCGAGACATAGCAGTTTCTGAAATCGTCTTTATGTAACATGTTAAATGTCATTTTACTCTCAGTTTACTATGAGCGCGTCTTGTCTTGTCTCGATAATAAACCTTTTCTTCAATTTATTTCAGTGTACATTTTTTTGTATCCTTTAAATAATTTACCTGGTCAACAATCAACATTTCTTTCAAAATAAACTGGATCGGCTAAAAGTCATCACAATTCAAATGAATGATGTATTTTATAATGAGAAAGAGTAATATGTCCTCTTGTCTTAACCTTATTAATAACTTCTTTTGGGAAGAGACCCGTGAAGGGCCCGGGGTAGAATAGGTCTTCAGCTGCCCATACTTGCCGTAACAGGCGACTATGCTTGTCGTAAAAGGCGACTAACGGGATCGGGTGGTCAGGCTCGCTGACTTGGTCGATACATGTCATCGATCCCAATTGCGTGGATCGAGGATCATGATGTCAATCACCTGATTGTCTGGTCCAGGCTCGATTTTTTTACAGACCGCCGTCATATAGCTTGAATACTGCTGATTACGGCGTTAAACAACAAACAAACAAACAAATCTTTTAGGTAGGGGGCACGGGTGGCCCAGTCGTCTTAGGCGCCGCGATTCGATGTGCAGAGTTGCATCCCTTGGGCAAGCCAGAAACCTATGATTGTTGGTTCGAATCCCGGTTCGCCCTGAGTATGCAATCGAGATACGATGATATGCATCAACCAAGCCGGCGAGCCTCAGCCCGATCGCCTCTTATGACACAAACATAGGTTGCAGAAGACGCACCCACCCCGAATTTTCACGGTTCGAATTAAGTCATAATCTATTGGGCCGATGTATGTGCATTTATCAAGATCTTTAACGTAACGTAGGTGTTGGAAATCACCAGAACATGATGGAAATCCAGGACAAACCATTAAATAATTATACTCTTGTGAATCGGAAATTCCCACAACCATGGAATGAAACCAACCAACTCTTCTTGAAATGTTGTATCGTAGGGGATTGTCAAGCCTTTATCGATGGTGGCAAGAGAAAAGTGACACTTGGTCAATGCTATCCATGTCTGTGCACCCAGTGAACAAAACATTGCCGTCCCCAACCCAAAAGTTGTTAAGACTTGTACTTGATCCAGTATATATTTTCCACATGTTCGTTGTTTTCATAGTTTGGGCTCTTGACATATTCTTTAGGTTCCTTCCCTCGGCCGTGTTCCCAATACTGCCAAGGCTTCTTTGTGCTCAGAGTTAGGATTATTTGACGCTTCGCCCTTTCTGTGTTGTCCAACTCAAATGAATGTCTTTTCTTGTATTGTTAGGGGTAGTCCAGCATTTGGATTTGGTTGGTTCGTTTGTTGTATAACGCTGCACTCAGCAATATTTCCAGTTATATGACGGCGGTCTGGAAATAATCGAGTCTGGACCAGACAATCCAGTGTTTAATATCATGAGCATCAACCAAGTCCGCGAGCCTGACCACCCGATCCCGTTAGTCGCCTTTTACGGCAAGCATGGATTGCTGAAGACCTATTTTAACCCCAGATTTTCACAGGTATTCAACAGTGGGTGTCATCAGTGAGTGAGTTAAAATTTAACGTCGCATCGGCATTATTTCAGCCATGTAGCGACTTGTGGATTCGAATTTCCCGTTCGTGCCGATTATGTTTCAAGGATTGTCAGCACTACACCCGTGCGAGTGGGTGTCCCCAAAGTGGTAAACGTCGAGATTGGCAACATTTTGAACTTTCCTCCCACATTAAGCTGACACCGTGATATAACTGGAATAATGTTAAAAGCGGCTTTAAAAACCAAGTCAATCACAACACGTGTTCCGAACTTATCAAACGAAAAGACTAAAGATCGGTATGCTTTATTATCATTGACCAATTAGTAATTTAGTCCCTTAAACAAATCAGGTCCCACCCACTTAGTTCATTAGTTCGGGGGGCGGTCGGGTAGCCTAGTGGGTAAAGCGTTCGCTCGCCACGCCGAAGGCCCGGGTTCGATTCCCGACATGGGTACAATGTGTGAAGCCCATTTCTGGTGTCCCCCGCCGTGATATTGCTGGAATATTGCTAAAAGCGGCGTAAAACCATACTCACTCACTCATTAGTTCGGGGAAGTAATAATGGTGGGGTGGGATCCGGTGTTGATCATTACAGTTCCACTGTAGACATGTTCAATTGACCAAACACACTCATTAATACTTCTTGATATAAAACATATTCTGACAGCTATAAGTATATCTCAGAACCATCACCAGAGTGAAATGCATCTTCAAATGGTCACATTCTTCACTTTCCATTGGACACAATCTTCCAGCTGTGGATGTGCAGGTTCCTGAAGATAGATACGAATATTATTTGTTCTGTGGTTTTTTTCACTCAATTTGTTGTGAAATGTATCATCTGAATTGGACGCAGACTCTATGTAGGGCATAAGTTTGTGTTGACTATGATGTTGTCGGAATGTATTCTAATGGTGATGGTGGTGTGTTGAGTGTTGTTTGTTTGTGTAACGCCGCTCTCCACAATATTCCAGCTATATGACGGCGGTCTGTAAATAAACGAGTCTGGACCAGACAATCCAGTGAGTGACATCATGAGCATCAATCCACGCAATTGGAATCGATGACATGCATCAACAAAGTCAGCGAGCCTGACCACCCGATCCCGTTAGTCGCCTCTTACGACAGTTGCTGAAGATCTTTTCTACCCCGGATCTTCACGGGTCTGGTGTGTGGAGTGTTTTGTCGGGACCCCGGTTGGTGTTGACTGGTTGTGTACCGAGATGACATGTGGTCTTGTTGTGTAGGGTGGTTATGTGGCAGTGTTACATTGTGGTGTTGATGTGGAGGTTGAGGTTTGGTGGGGTCGGGTGTTGATGTGAAGGTTGATGGTGTCAGGGTGTGGCACTGTAACGTGATGGTGTAGGATAGGGGTAGTGTATCATGGTGGTGGTAGGGTGTGGTGGTATAGTGTGGTGTTGTCGGGGGTAGTGTGGCTTGGTTTTACGTGGCAGTAGATGGTGGAGGTGACTGAGAGTGGTAGTGTAGTGTGGTGGTGACGGAGTGAGGTAGTGTAGTGTAGTGTGGTTGTGTAGTTTGGTGGTAGTTTAGTGTGGTGGTGTCGGAGTGTGGTTGTGGTAGTTGAGGATGGACGTATCGGAGTCTGTTTTTTAGTTCAGCCTGCACTGCGTATCTAATCCGCCATGTTTGCCACTTTTGTGTCCTCGGGCGTATCCTTGTCCTCTTTGGGTTGCAGATTGTTATCAGCGATGAAATGTTGCAAGAAGGCTCGGCAGGAGTTGTATCCCCGCTACAAAAATACCACTAGCATGATTCTCTATAAACTATTTTCAAAGTAACATACATACATGTACAATTTGTGACAGGCGAACTGTAGTCATATGAAAAGCCGTTATGCTTTTAACTTCATTTGAGTTATATACCTTGACAAGGATACTCACTCACAATTTACCTTTCTGCATTAAGAAGAGCACTTACCATCGACAAAAACTCCTTGTCTGCCTCCTCCATTTCGAAGTCTGTCGTGTCCACGTGTCCCGTGTTGATGCCAACAGTTCTGTCAATGTCACTGGGCTGTTGGAAACATGGGTACTTAAAATAATTTGGGTTGCATCGCTTTAATTCGAATTCAATAAAGACACTGATTCCCTGTTTTGTTTTCAGATGAACAATTGACATGCCTTTGCATGTGTTTGTGACGGGTGCCATCAGTGGCGCAGCATACGCACACAATTTCGAGAACACCTGGTATCATCACATTTGTTTGTGTGCATGTGTGTTCAACACACTCGGCACTATTCATGCTATATGATGGGGGTCTGTAAATAATCGAGTCTGATCCAGACAATCCAGTGATTGGCATCATGAGCATCGATCCACGCAATTGGGATACGATGGCATGCATAAGCCAAGTCGGCAAGCCTGACCACACGATCCCGTTAGTCGCCATTACCGACAAACATAGTCGCCTATTACGGCAATAGGGGGTTGCTTAAGACATGGGTCGGTATCATTACTATTTATAGTGGCTCAAAAACACATGATTCAAATATAGTCGGAATTGAACAATGGATGTTTCGCGTTTTTTACCAGATATTTCTTCCGATAATGGATATGGTTTTGTCGTTTTTTACATTTTTGTGTGCCAAACTTACGAGGGTAGTGTCATGGATGCATGCACTTCCCGAAGGTGACAACGGTTTTAAATTGGTTTGTTTAACGCCACACTCAGCATTATTCCAGCTATATGACGGCGGGCTGTAAATAATCGAGTCTGGACCAGACAATCCAGTGATTAATATCATGAGCCTCGATCCACGCAATTGGGATAGATGACATGCATCAACCAAGTCAGCGAGCCTGACCACCCGATCCCGTTAGTCGCCTAGGCCTTTTACGACAAGCATAGTCGCCTTTTACGGCAAGCATGGGTTGCTGAAGACCTATTCTACCCCGGATCTTCACGGGTACCACGCAATTGGGATTGATGACATGCATCAACCAAGTTAGCGAGCCTGAACACCCGATCCCGTTAGTCGCCTTTTACGACAAGCATAGTCACCTTTTACGGGAAGTATGGGTTGCTGAAGACCTATTCTACCCCGGAATCTTCACGGGTCTAACGGTTTTAAAACCTGGGCACAAGTGAATTGTGTTCGCTTATCTCAAATCTGTTTAAAAGAGTTAAATAATATCTGTTCTAACTGGAACCGATTGGTCTATAATAGGTTCAAAACAAATATAAAGATGTTATTTAGTTTGCATATTCTGGCTTGCCCAAGGGTAGACTGTCCCCCCGGGCCAACCGTAGTAAAGTCGTACTTATGTTATTATTGTGCCTCTGATCAATATCTGTTGTGATAAAATGATTGTCAATAAACATCAGCATTTTAATGATAAACTTCCAACAAAACAGATAAAAACAAAATCTACTAAGGAGCAATCTCATTAAAATCAGACCCCAGTTCTCGCTACCGCTAAACAAAGATCTGAGGACATCCCATTAAGGGTCACGTCAGAACGACCTTTCATCCGACCAATCAGAGCATCGCTTACCAAATTGTGAAAGTGACAGTCGGAATGTGATGTCTAATCATGCAACCTCGAAAACTTTAACTCCGAACGGTAGTTACCGGTTTAACGACTGAATCCATACAATCTAGACCATCTATTAGCCATCCGAGAATGTTCTTTTGTTCAGGTTTCAAATTTGTAATCGAGAATTTGTCAAAATATGTTTCGAAGCGTAGTCGCCAATTTGAAATTAGTACCGTAAAACACGAGAAAGCTGCCTTCTGATTGGGCATTCCATTGTTCTGTTAAAGTTCGCGCAAGGTCGGTCTGACGTGACCCGTAATGGGATGTCCTCAGATCTTTGTTTAGCGGTAGCGAGAACTAAGATCTGATTTTAATGAGATTGACTAAGGAGTGAATATTTCCCTTCTTATATAAAGAATACCTTGGTGGTGATCCTCTTGACGTTAATGAGAAGTGTATTTAAGATGCTGTTGACATAGCTGGGTATACTGTTGACGACGCTTCTTCTAAAGCCAATCGATCGGTGCCGAATATTGATGCCCAGGTCTTCCATGAAACTCACAAGTTCACTGTAATGAATCTGAAAAAAGCAATCCTTGTAGACCCGTACTTATGTACACACACAGACGACACAGGTGGCCAGAGCGTCAAAGGCGTAAACAACTCACCCACGGTCACCCCAAATTAATGCGATCCAGGGTCTCGTTCCACCTTAGCACAACGACTATCGTATGCCTATATTAAAGTATGGAACTAGGATCGTCTTATCGCTACGACTATCGGAATATCTATATTAAAGTATGGGAACTACGATCGTCTTAGCGCTACGGGAACCATAAGTATATATTAAAGTATGGGAACTACGATCGTCCTAGCGCTACGGGGATCATAAGTATATATTAAAGTATAGGAACTACGATCGTCTTGGCGCTACGACGACCGTAAGTCTATATTAAAGTATGGGAACTACGATCGTCTTAGCCCTACGAGGACCGTATGTCTATATTAAAGATCCCCGAGCTCGCAACAGAAGCAAGTCACCTCGAGCTGGGAAAAGTAGATCTCCAGTGCTTCCACCTCCAATAACATGACCAATTATAACTCCCTAATTCAGTGGAATTGCAGAGGTCTAAGGACAAATTTTAATGAAATTCAATTACTGGTACAGGATTTCAAGCCATCAGCAATTTGTCTTCAAGAGACATATCTCAAGCAAACGAATACTTTTGACTTTCGTCAGTACAGATCATATCATTCATTTTCTCCTCCAGGTGCTAAAGCCACTGGAGGATCCTCCATTCTGGTGCGACAGGATGTGATTCACAGTCCTGTGTGCCTGGATACCTATCTCCAAGCTATTGCAATACGTCTTACTTTGCACATTGCGTTTACTCTGTGTTCCCTATATATTACTCCCTCCTCTAATCTGAATCGTTCTGAACTACAATCACTATATGATCAACTTCCTAAACCTTGTATCATAATGGGTGATCTGAATGGTCAGAATCCCTTATGGGGAAGTGTCAATCTAAATTCTAAAGGGAAACTCCTTGAGGATTTTATCTCGGATAATAACATATGTATTTTTAATGATGGTTCTAATACTTATTTACATCCTGCTAGTGGGACGTATTCTGCGTTAGATCTGTCACTATCAGATTCTGACTTGTTAAATGAATTTACTTGGTCGGTCCATGACGATTTGTGTGGAAGCGACCATTTCCCTACAATTCTGAAAACTATTAACCCAACTGATGTTCTGCCCTCATTACGGTGGAATTTTAATAAGGCCAACTGGTCTTTATTTCAAAATCTCTGTACTGACAAGTTAACACCCGAAATTTTCAGGGATGCTCCTGACCCTATTAAGTTGTTCTCTGAACAACTGAATGAAATTGCTGATGAAACGATACCAAAGTCCTCTGCAAATCCACACATACGAAAACCATGGTTTGATAATACATGCAAACAAGCTAGAAAGATAAGGAAAAAGGCTGAAAATTATTTTCGCCGACACCCTACTGTTCATAATTTGAATCATGTTAAAATTACAAATGCAAAAGCACGACGTACTTTTAAACAGAATAAACGCGTGTCATGGAGAAATTATGTCTCCAGGATCAATTCCCGAACACCTATGTCCAAGGTGTGGAATATGATTCAGAGGATAAAAGGAAAAGGTTCCAAATATAGTGTTCACCACCTCAAAGATGGTGCTCGTCTACTGACAAATAAAACTGATATCGCAAATAAGTTGGGCGAAACACTCACTAAACATTCTTCATCAGCGAATTATGCTGAAAAATTTCAGAAATACCAGAGTCGAGAGGAAAAGAAATATATTAATTTTACCTCAGACAATGGTGAAGATTATAACGAAGTGTTTTCACTCCATGAGCTACATACTGCCCTCGGCCAAGCTCATGATACTGCGACAGGAGATGACAATATACACTATCAACTACTGAAGCGTTTGCCTCAGTCATGTCTTGAGACACTTTTAGACATTTTTGATCAGATTTGGACTTCAGGAAATTTTCCATCCTCTTGGCATAATGCCATAGTCATCCCTATACCAAAGCCTGGCCGGGATCATACAGATCCTTCAAATTATCGACCTATATCTTTAACTAGCTGTGTCTGTAAAACCATGGAACGTATGGTAAACAATAGATTGGTTTGGTACTTGGAAACCAACAATTTAATCACTAACATTCAATGTGGTTTCCGTAAAAACAGAAGTACCATCGACCATTTAGTACGTTTGGATTCGTTTATAAAAAATGCCATTGTAAATAAACAGCACGCGGTATCAATCTTTTTTGACTTGGAAAAGGCATATGATACCACATGGAAACATGGTATTTTAAAAGATTTACATGCTTTTGGTTTGAGAGGCCGTTTGCCTCAATTTGTATCTCAGTTTTTAACTGACAGGCAATTTCAGGTCCGCGTGGGCTCAACCCTGTCTGATCATTATAATCAGGACCAGGGTGTCCCACAGGGCAGTATATTGTCTGTCACTCTGTTTAGTATTAAGATTAACAGTTTAGCAACTGTATTAAATGACTCAATTGATGGGTCATTATTTGTTGATGATTTTAACATTTCGTGTCGTGGCAAAAATATGCGCACTATTGAAAGACAATTGCAGCCTTGCTTAAATAAAATTCAGAATTGGTGTGAAAAAAATGGTTTCAAATTTTCAAAATCCAAGACAAATTGTATTCATTTTTGTCGAAGTTATAAACCTCATAAAGATCCTGAATTGTTTCTTGACTGTACTCCAATCAAGGTTGTAGAGGAGGCCAAATTTTTGGGACTTGTTTTTGACCATCATTTGACCTATTTGCCTCATATTAAGTATCTGAAGAATAAATGCCTGAAGGCTTTAGATCTACTGAAAGTCGTATCAAATTCTAAGTGGGGAGGGGATCAGAGAACCCTCCTCCACTTATACAGATCTCTTATTCGCTCCAAATTAGATTATGGCTCGATTGTATATGGTGGAGCCTGTAAGAGTAATCTCGAAAAATTAGATACAGTCCACCATCAAGGCCTGAGACTCTGTCTTGGCGCCTTCAGGACATCTCCTATTGCTAGCCTTTATGTCGAAGCTGATGAGCCTTCTCTTCACCATCGACGTATTAAATTGTCTCTTCAGTATATTGCAAAACTGCGTTCAAATCTATCAAATCCTGCTTATGATACAGTTTTTCATCCACAATATGAAGAACTGTTTCAGAAGAAACCCAAACATATTCCACCTCTTGGGATTCGGATGAAATCCCATATTACTGCTGCCAGGATAGAACTTGATACCGTATCTCCACACAGACTTTTATCATCTCCTCCATGGCAATTGGTTCGACCGACAGTGGATCTAACGCTTGCTAATAACAAAAAATCAGAAACTAATGACTTACACTATCAACAGGATTACCTACAGTTGAGGAGCAATTATGATTCTCACCGTTCTATTTTCACCGACGGATCCAAGGACGGTGGCAATGTTTCTAGTGCCACTGTTGTTGGATCTAAAACTATCTCTTCCCGATTACCCGACAATAGCTCTATCTTCACAGCCGAATCTAAGGCAATACTCACAGCTTTGGAATACATTCAACAGCAGTCCATCCACAAACAATTTATAATATTTTCTGATTCGCTGTCCTGTCTTCAGGCGATTAAAAACATGTCTTCGGGTCATCCATTCATCTTGGATATATTAGAAATGTACAATGACCTTGCCACTGGCCAATACGACATTGTCTTCTGTTGGTTGCCCAGCCATGTCGGCATTGTGGGTAACACACTGGCTGATACTGCTGCAAAGGCAGCACTCAACAAATCTGTGACCCCACTTCTTATTCCATACAGTGATATTAAACCTGTTATTAGATGTTACATCAGGGACCTTATGCAAAAGAAGTGGGACACCCAAGTGGGTGTAAATAAGCTACATGCCCTAAAACAAACCATCGGTTACACTTACTTGGGTTGTCAGTCCAGATTTGAAGAGGTCATTATGCGACGATGTCGTATTGGCCATTCTCGTTATACACACGAATATTTGTTAAAAGCTGAAGATCCTCCATTCTGTATCCCTTGTGATGAGAGAATCACCGTCAAGCATGTTTTGCTTGATTGTGTCGATTTCTCTCTCACCAGGGATAAATATTATCATTCATCTTCATTGAAGGATCTTTTTAATAATGTCAGTACTCATTTAATTCTTGGTTTTTTAAAAGAAATTGAGTTAATAGATAAATTTTGATTGTATGTATTGTAAAAATAAATGCTTTTAATTTGGTAGAATGATTCGATAACTGTGATTGTTTGTGGCTGTACCTTCAAAGGGGGTTGAAGTATCGTAAAATGATTGTCCTCCTGAGAGGGTGCGTAAGTCCCACTTCCTTCAAAGTATGTTTCATTTTCCTGGATTTTAATCGTAGTATGCTTGTTATTTTTAAATATTTTGGCTTCAACTGTCTAACTATCACCAGTAGCCAGAGGGATGGTGTAAATCCTGCTTGGGTCCCATGCAGGAAGCAGATGTACCGTAAGTCCCCATGGTCCCTAGTATGGTGTCCTAACTTTGGTTGCTGGTGATCTCTAGCCCATTTTTATAATGTATTGTTCAGAGTAGTCACATTTTTATGATAACATGCTAGTTTTAAATCTATATCTGTGATAGACTAGTACTTTTACTGTCCTTTGTTGACAGATTTAAATATCTATGTGAATGTATTATTCCTGTATAACTTGATTTAGTCACTATATGGCTGAAATATTGCCGATGTGACTTTAAATCTTAACTCACTCACTCACTCACTATATTAAAGTATCGTAATTCTATGTTACAGTATGGGATCTACGATCCTCTCAGCTTTACGACTATCGTAAGTTTATGTTAAAGTGTTGGAGCTACGGTCGTTTTCGCGCTAGAACTGTCGCAAGTCTGTGTTAATGTATGAGTGCTACGGTCACCTCGGCGCTACGACTACCGCAAGTCTGTGTTAAAGTATGGGTTGGTTGGTTTGTTTGTTGTTTAAAGCCGCACTCAGCAATATTCCAGCTATATGACGGCGGTCTGTAAATACTCGAGTCTGGAAAAGACAATCCAGTGATTGATATCACTTTGGGAGCTAGGATCGTCTTAGCGCTACGACTATCGTAAGTCCATGTTAAAGTATGGGAGCAACGATCGTTATAGCGCTAGAACTGTCGCAAGTCTATGTTAATGTATGAGAACTACTGTCGTCTTAGTGCTACGACTATCTTAAGTCTATGTTAAAGTATTGGAGCTACGATCGTTATAGCGCTAGAACTGTCGCAAGTCTATGTTAATGTATGAGAGCTACTGTCGTCGTAGCGCTACGACTATTGTAAGTCTATGTTAAAGTATGGGAGCAACGATCTTTATAGCGCTAGACCTGTCGCAAGTCTATGTTAATGTATGAAAGCTACTGCCGTCTTAGCGCTACGACTATCGTAAAGTCCATGTTAAAGTATTGGAGCTACGATCGTTATGGCGCTAGAACTATCGCAAGTCTATGTTAATGTATGAGAACTACTGTCGTCTTAGTGCTACGACTATCTTAAGTCTATGTTAAAGTATTGGAGCTACGATCGTTATAGCGCTAGAACTGTCGCAAGTCTATGTTAATGTATGAGAGCTACTGTCGTCGTAGCGCTACGACTATTGTAAGTCTATGTTAAAGTATGGGAGCAACGATCTTTATAGCGCTAGACCTGTCGCAAGTCTATGTTAATGTATGAAAGCTACTGCCGTCTTAGCGCTACGACTATCGTAAAGTCCATGTTAAAGTATTGGAGCTACGATCGTTATGGCGCTAGAACTATCACAAGTCTATGTTAATGTGTGAGAATTACGATCGTCTTAGCGCTACGACTATCATAAGTCCATGTTATACCTTGAAACTCAAAACTCGAATGTCAGAAATATGTCCAGGTGATATTAATTAGGTTGATCAGTTAAGATCAGTTCAAGAATTCGCTTAGAACTCCATCAACCTTCGTTGATTGTTAGAGGCTACTTAATGGCTTGGTGGCCACCCTCAGTGACCAGCAGCCACGGTTTGCTCATAATATTAATCACTTGATGATCTGGCTCAGACTAGATTATTTACAGCTGGAATAATGCTGTGTGTGGCGTCAAACAACCTCCACCCTGCCCACCTGTTAACAGTCATGTCCACATTTACCTGCCCCGTGCCATCCTGGTCCAGAAGACGAAACGCTTCCTCTGGACTCGCATCCTCCCCGAACAGAATGTCAGCCTGGTCTTTCGTGAACGATTTCTGGAATACACACCCAGTTACCATCAGCCCATCTTCGTGTTCCAATATGTTACATCACCAATCCAGTATGAATATCTCCATTCCATAATAATTAGCATATTGAAAAATTGAAATGGAATTTAATAATAGAGGCAGATTGCCATCTAGTCATTCGTGAATTGGCTGGTCGAATAGACCTGGATTAGATTATCAAAGTGTACACAAAATGCGAGAAATAGTGATTACACGAGTCTTTTTAAGATCCCATTTATCTTACGAGTTGTTTCAAAGGGTATCTAACGAGCGAAAGCGAGGTGAATTCGAATGTTGTAATATTGCTATCAGCTAACTAAAACAATATTTATTCACTCAATGAACAGACGGTATTCACTACTGAAACTGACGTACACGTTTCAAGGCGTTTTCCAACTCCTCCCGGTTAATGACTTTGCCCTTATCCATATTGCACTCGTCAATGACCTGAAAGACGAGAATCAGTTGAATGACATTCTCCGTAGAGGATTCAGTGGTAGATTACATGTACGATTCATTTAAAGGCTACAAGTAGGATTCAGTTGTAGGTTACATGTACGATTCATTTATAGGCTACAAGTAGGATTCAGTTGTAGATTACATGTAGGATTCATTTAAAGGCTACAAGTAGGATTCATTTATAGGTTACAAGTAGGATTCAGTTGTAGGTTACATGTAGGATTCAGTTGTAGGTTACATGTAGGATTCATTTGTAGGTTACATGTAGGATTCATTTATAGGCTACAAGTAGGTTTAAGTTGTAGGTTACATGTACGATTCATTTGTAGGTTACATGTACGATTCATTTGGAGGTTACATGTACGATTCAGTTGTAGGTAACATGTAAGATTCACTTATAGGCTACAAGTAAGATTCAGTTGTAGATTACATGTACGATTCATTTATAGGCTACAAGAAGGATTCAGTTGTAGGTAACATGTAAGATTCACTTATAGGCTACAAGTAGGATTCAGTTGTAGGTAACATGTAAGATTCACTTGTAGGTTACATGTAGGATTCACTTGTAGATAACATGTAAGATTCACTTATAGGCTACAAGAAGGATTCAGTTGTAGGTAACATGTAAGATTCACTTATAGGCTACAAGTAGGATTCAGTTGTAGATTACATGTAGGATTCAGCTGAAAGTTACATGTGAGACTGAATGGTAGGCCAATATAATATTCAGTTGTATCTAGGATTCAGATGTTTTTTGTATAAAGGATTCAGCTGAGGGTTAAAGGAGTATTGTACCACTTAAATACTACTACACTTTATCTACCGTTCATAGGGCTTTGTTTGTTTCCTGGACCATGTCATCGCACCATGGCTGCGTGGGTCGTTGCTCATACTATCAACCACCGGTTTGCGGGGGCCAGAGCCAGTTGTTTCACGGGCAGTTGTTAAATAGCTATAACATCGCCGACTACGACTACATTAATGGACCCACCTTGAAAGTCGAAAGTGTTACCTATTTTAGCCAACGTACTTGTAAATAAAACTAATCAGAATCGTTCCAGATTTCCAGATACATGGAAGACGCGGCGTTCATATTGAGATCGTAAGTTGTTTGATTGGCATTACTTAGAAGATGACGGATGACAAGGTAGACACAATTTTATGGATAAAAACTCTTTACAGTATTAATGAACTTGTTATTCATAAACTTGTGTCTATCTTGAGATTGTAAGTGTATATGCCATAAAACCTGTATGGAGGCTAGTTATATTGGAACGTTTACACATACATTGTATATTGAACAACTACGATCTACCTTCAAGAACGAATTCATCGCGTCTGTGATCCTCTCGTGAATTCTTTTTGATTTCATCATGTCCTCTCGTTGTTCTAACCATTTCCTGTAATGAACATATATGTATGTGGGTAAATTAAATTAGCACAATACACAAAGTGACAGAGACAGTTACACAAACCATATATTGGTGGGCCACTAAAGACGATCAGTGCATAGTAATCGATTTATTCACTGTTAGAAAGACACTGTATTTTACAAAACAGCTTGATTTTATTTCACAGTTGTCACATGTTTGTTTGATTATTGTTTAACGCCGCACTCAGCAATATTCCAGCTTTATGCCGGCGGTCTGTAAAATAATAGAGTCTGGACCAGACAATCCAGTGATTGACATCACGAGCATCGATCCACGCCTTGGGATCGATGACATGTATCACCGCAGTCAGCGAACCTGACCACCCGATTCCGTTGGTCGCCTTTTACGACAAGCATAGTCGCCTTTTACGGCAAGCATTGGTTGCTGAAGACCTTTTCTACCCCGGAATCTTCACGGGTCATGATTCAGATTGATTGAGGTAGAATTATTACTGTTTTGAACAGTATTTCAGTTATATCACGGCGTGTCAGCATGATGTTGGATAAATCACGGGAATTCTACTGATAAATTCGAACGTACACTCATAGATTTCTGTCACGTCAGAGGACGCAACTCTATCAAACTGAGACGCCTTTAATATCATTATAAAGACGGTAGACATTGTGCCTAATTGGTACATTTAAAGACCGCCTCCGTGGTCTAGTGGTAGAGCGTCCGCCCGGAGAGCGGAAGGTCCGAGGTTCGATCCCCGGCCGCGTCATACCAAAAGACATTAAAAGATGGTACTTGTTGTTACCCTGTCTGGCGCTCGGCATTTAGGGGCTAAAACAAGGACTGGTCGGCTCGGAGTCAGTATACTGTGTCTGAGTGGGGTATTCATGTTAAACTGCGGCATGGTATCTCAGTGAGCTAGCACTATAAATCGGCATCAGCCCGGACTAGTACAAGCAGCCACACAAACACATACAAACCCGTGAAGATTCCGGGGTAGAATAGGTCTTCAGCAACCCATGCTTGCCGTAAAAGGCGACTATGCTTGTCGTAAAAGGCGACTAACGGGATCGGGTGTTCAGGCTCGCTGACTTGGTTGATGCATGTCATCAATCCTAATTGCGTGGATCGATGCTCATGATAATAATCACTGGATTGTCTGGTCCAGACTCGATTATTTACAGAACGCCGTCATATAGCTGGAAAATTGCAGAGTGCGGCGTAAAACAATAAACCAACCAACATGCACGTCGCTATATAAGAGCAATAATCTTGGACGCGACGTTAAACCCAATTTCACCCCACCTAGTACATTAAATGTGTATCGTTTTAGATGAATCCTGCATCCGAATGGATGTACACTTGTACATGTAGATTGTATGTAACCGTGAAGCTCTAAGTGGTTGGGTACACATAAGGCAAGATACCTACTTGTATAGTTTCGTTTCAACGCTTGGTTTGACCGGTTTGACAGGCCCGACCTTTCTTTCCAGACTGGGCCTCAGATAATCTCTCTCAGCGTCCGAGTACTGTGCGAGGAAATACAAATGAAACCAGTAAAGGTTGTAATAGACTTTTCAATTTTTTTTCTTTGATACTGCTGAGAATTTTCTCTGACATCTGAATACATGTCGTAGAAGCCTTCAGAAGGAACAACATGCTTGCCATAGAAGGCGATTATGCTTGTCGTAAGAGGCGACTAACGGGATCGGGTGGTCAGGCTGCTGACTTGGTTGATGCATGTCATCGTTTCCCAATTGCGTGGATCGATGCTAATGATGTCAATCACTGAATTGTCTGGTCCAGACTCGATTTTTTTTACAGGCCGTCAAATAGCTGGAATATTGCTGTGTGGCGTTGAACAACAAACAAACAGAACAAAGGAGGCAAGTTAAAATAATTCCATTTCCGTCGATTTTAATATGGAGCGCATCCTATATTTCTGGCATTTTGGAACCATTGCTTGGGTCTTCTTTACAGCAACTATACCATTCTAAACCGGTAAACCTCTAAATTTATTATATTTACACCTATTAGTGTATGATTTAGGCCATAGTAAAACCAGGAACGTTGGAACAGCGGCCTTATAGAGAAAGGCCGATAACTTTTGCTGTTAACTATCCAGAAATAAACAGCAAAAAGACAAAAACAAACTCGCTTTGTTAAATACATTTTACAATTTGAACATAAAGCACATGGGTTATTTATTTCTTATGCATTAATTACTATGTGAAGGTGAATTGTCCTCTTTTTATTTAATCGAAAATTGCTTCTTGGTCCACAAGACGGTACACATTCTTACTGCAAACACTTTGGCGTCATATTATAATGATGACGGCGCATTGTAACGGCCATGCACTGATGAACGACGTGAAGGAGAAAAAGTCATTCGTATACAAAGAAGATCATTATTGAAGTCGCAGTTACTTTGTTTCTTTTCCTGATTATATTTTGTACGCACCAAGCGATTGTGCATATTATACATATAAGTTTGGGGCAAGCTTACTTACAAGAAGAAAACCAAGTGTTTTGTTAAAGCTGTTGGTCGGGCGGAACCTGTTTTCATACAATATAGGCAGGTCTTCCAGTGGCTGTAGACGTGTGATGAAGTTGTCAGATTTGTCCATTGACAGGAACCAACCTGTGACATATACCAGTTCCTGTCATGATCATATCATGTATAAATCTCAACACTTATAAAAGCAACGTAAGCATACGTTTGCCCCATCGGAAAGACTGTAAACATGAAAGTGCACCAAAAGCATTAAAACAAACGACACAACAAACAGATGCTTAAACCCAACCCGGATGTGAAAAAATAGAGGGACCGTGTTTGTTTCCTCTGTTTCCTTGGTGTATCGGTCAATACAACAAGTTTCTCCCTATGAAACTGTTCGTATATTGGTCGACACACCACCGAAAACATGGATGTAATTAACTTCTACTTGTAAATAATTGATTACGTTTTCGTTTAATGGCATGTGTTAAATACGTTTCACACTGGAGAAAGAAATATATACAATAGTTTCAACATAGACATTCAACCACTCAGTCCCGACTAAACAATTAAAAGGTTCTGTGTTTGGAACCCATTTGAAAAGAAAGCATACTTTTTCTTGACTTCCAATCTAGCATTTGACGAAATCTTTCACGTAAGTAACGTTCTACGTGAGCGCCCCCGTGATGGAGTGGAAAGAGAGGAAGGTCTGGCCACGTCATACCAAAAGACCTTAAAACATGGTTGGTTGGTTGGTTGTTTAACGCCGCACTTAGCAATATTCCAGCTATATGACGGCGGTCTGTAAAATAATCGAGTCTTGACCAGACAATCCAGTGATTGACATCATGAGCATCGATCCACGCAATTGGGATCGATGACATGTATCAACCAAGTCAGCGAGCCTGACCACCCGATCCCGTTAGTCGCCTTTTACGACAAGCATAGTCGCCTTTTACGGCAAGTATGGGTTGCTGAAGACCTATTCTACCCCGGAAACATGGTACTTGTTACCCTGACTGACGCGTGGAATTATGGGTTGGTTGGTTGGTTGGGTTGTCTTTTAACGCTGCACTTAAGGATTGACTGTGTATTTTTTCTGTTCATAGAGGTATGAATCGACAAACCTATGTGCAAACTGTATGAATCCGCGTACAAAACTTTGCACATCGGTTTTTTTATTCATACCTCAATAAACCGAAAAAAATACACAGTCAATGCTTATAATTAAATTTGACAACGAAAAACATCTTTTATCTACAATAGTTTAACCAAAAACAGTTGTATATATCAAAACAGACAAAAATGACGAGATTGGCAAACATTCCAGGTGTAGGAATACATAGTGGCGTGACATGAATCATGTGATCGTTTAATTTATGCACATAACTTGACACGCCTACACAGTCAGTAGCCAGTCAACGGAGAGTGGGATCAAAACAATGTTCACTAGACCTATCAATTAAGGCAAGAGGCGAAAAGAACTGCAACAGTCAGAATGTAACGGACCGGAAGATAAATGTCCAAGAGAAGGCGGCTGTTTCAAATAACTGGTCAGTTACCGCGAGATTCAAACATTACCTCCCTGATTACGGTAAAACACAGTTGGAGAAATGCTAGTTAGAAATGAAACCCGAAGACATGAAAGTTAAACCGAGGCCAGCGGGTAAAAAAAACAGGCGAGCGAGCCTGCACGTTTGTGCAACGGAAATTTAATTATTCAGCAATATTCCAGCTATATGACGGCGGTCCGTAAATAATCGAGTCTGGACCAGACAATCCAGTGATTAATATCATGAGCATCGATCCGCGCAATTGGGATCGATGACATGACCAGACTGACAGAATGCCTCCCTGACTCGAACGTAGAAAATACCGTGGCAATATACTGTTTTTCCCGTCATATAGCTGGAATATTGTTGAGTGTTGCTTAAACAACAAACATACATTCAAACAAACAATATTCTCACCATCAAAACAGTGCACTGGGTAGTTACAGAGGACTCCCCCGTCAATGAACGTGTCCTCCGATCCGTGCTGATAATACTCTATGGGAGTAAATAGACCTGTGAATAACAAAACATACAGTTATACCCAACATTCTTATCCTCTGAAATCTCGTACACTACGTGAAATGTTTTTTGTCTACGTTTCTCCTACGTAGGACTTAGTATCTCCTACGCAGGAGATACTAAGTCCTACGTAAGAGATGGTTATTCTTGTCCATACTAAGTCCTAATAGGAGATACTTAGAAAAATTAATTTTACCCTGTCCCCACGACGCTTCCGTACGTACACAGATGACAATGAGAAAGCAACTGATAAAATGCCTACCGGGAATTGACATCGACATGCGCACTGCGACTCTGATTGGCATATCCGGTGTAGTTTTGGGGTGACAGTATTCTGCAGTCATGAGGTTCAGGTTGGTGACAACAACACATACCTCGCGGCCATATTTCTTCCGTACCTGAGACATTGGAGGATTTCAGTGCTATATACATTACAGTAATGAAATTTGTTTGTGTTTAAAAGCGTTTTAACGCTACATTACATGATTTGTTTGTTTTTCTTTAGTACCGCACACATCAATATTCCAGCTACATGACGGCGGTCTGAAAACAATCGAGTCTGGACCAGACAATCCAATGAATGATGGTATCATGAGCATCGCTCCACGCAATTGGGATATGATGTCATGCATCCACGAAGTGGCGGGTGATCAGGACCGCTGACTTGATGCATGTCATCGATCCAAATTGCGTGGATCGATGTTCATGATATCAATCACTGGATCACTGTCTGGTCCAGACTCGATTATTTACAGACCGCCGTCATACAGCTGGAGTATTGCGTTAAGCAACAAACCCAACCAACCAACCAACCAACCAACCAATTGAGTTGATCGATGCTGATGATTTCAGTCATGGGATTGTCTGGTGCAGTCTCGATAACTTACAGCCAGAATATTTTTGAGTGCAGCGTTAAAACGCAAACAATCATTAACGGAGCATGATCACACGATGCTCTTTAGTCGTACCTTTGGGACAGACCATTTGATAATATTCTTGGTGGTGGAGATTTCTCAATAAAAACTCCAACCAAATTTGTCTAAGAACAAGAATTGGAAACATATTGTTTAGTCCTGGTCAGCATGTTCAACCCAAATCCGACCGCCTCCGTGGTCTAATGGTAGAGCGTCCGCCCGGAGAGCGGAAGGTCCGGGGTTCGATCCCGAGCCGCGTCATACCAAAAGACGTTAAAAGATGGTACTTGTTTTTACCCTGTCTTGCGCTGGGCATTAAGGGGCTAAAACAAGGACTGGTCGGCTCGGAGTCAGTATACTGTGTCTGAGTGGAGTATTCATGTTAAACTGCGGCATGGTATCTCAGTGTGCTAGCACTATAAATCGGCATCAGTCCGGACTAGTAAAAGCAGCCACACACACACACACACACACACACACACATACACGTGCATGCACGTCGCTATATAAGTGCAATAATCTTGGACGCAACGTTAAACCCCATTTCACTTCACCTCACCTCACATCACCTCAACCCAAATCCAACAGGACCCTTTTAGGTTGAACGCGAACAAGTGCACATAACTCCCGGAGCTGGCATTCGCGGACGAATGGAGTAACCTGCCTTGAGGGTTGTCAACACGTCATTTTGTCAATGAGGCGTCGTCAACGTTGACAGCGTTCGACAGTTGCCACATCCCACAACGAAAGCCATACGTAATGACAATGTATGAGTTTGACCTATCACGTGACAAATGGATAGGAATTCTATATTTGGCATTTTTTTGTTTTTCATCACTGATGAAAATCACTCATCTCTATCATTGTTGAATAATCACACTTTTATATGGTGTATTTTCTCATCCTGTTGAATATTTGATCATGATATTTATCGATAATTACGCATTGCTTAATAAATAAACAACTGCATGAATGTTCAACCTCCTCAAATGTGATGTCTTCAGATCCTGTCCTTTTCCGTAATATTTCGCCAAGCCAGTCGTACACTCTGTTTCCTGGATGCCAGCCAAACCTCTTGACCATGTTTCGTAAACCACCAAGAAATCCCCCGTCTGTTAAACAGATTTGAGATGGAAAATCGGTCCTTTTCCAATAGGTTCTGACTAGACACAAGCACACTATCATAATATCTCATGAAAACAAAGTATTTATCATCCAAGACTAGCTACCACGGGACATATAACTTGGAGTGGGTGAGTGAGGATCGTTTTACGCCGCTTTTAGCAATATTTCAGCAATAGGGGACACAAGAAATGGGCTTCACAATGGGGAATCGGCGTGACGGGCGAACGCTTTAACCAATTGGGATCGATGACATGCATCAACCAAGTCAGCGAGCCTGACCACCCGATCCCGTTAGTCGCCTTTTACAAGCATAGTCACCTTTTACGGCAAGCATGGGTTGGTGAAGACCTATTCTACCCCGGAATCCTTATATGGCCTACACGCCATTTGGCCTACACCCTTATCCAAACAAATGTACAGCTGATTGCACATCCCTCTTGTCCTGACCTACCAAATGAAACATTTCTGTTTTCGTATTGATTATGATTTCATCTTTTATAGAATTTAAAACTGACAGAGGTATATATATATACCGACTAATAACAACTATAACAACATACACTGTTCACTGAGGACAAATAACAAACGATGAGAAGTGTTGGTAGTCTGTTTTGAACTTCCAGCGTATGTCCATTTGTTAACAAGATAAACATGAGTTTATACAATCAATATAGGTCGAGGTGAGCTGACAATACCCCTTCTGATAGGGGTGATGTTATTTACCATGTTATTTATTGCAGGCGATAGGTGTAGGGCAAATGAGGACAAGCCGAATATAGGGATCCACAGCAATCTAAGCTTGTCCTACGAGGCAATTAAAGGGATAAAGTGGTCATGTAAGGTGAATCGGTTGACTGCAATGAATGTAATTGTATCCAAATCCTTGCAAAGATGTTCAGAGGGGTTTGTTTGTGATTGACATCATGAACATCGATCTACGCAATTGGGATCGATCACATGCAACGTGTCATATTTAAAAAAATGCTCTGAATGTCTACCATAAGAATTTCGAATGACATAACCAGGCCTTGCGGGTGAAAACCTTAAAAAAATTTTTAGCTGTTATCAGAATATCTGTCCATGAGATGAATAAAATGTACATGCTCTTTAGTATCTGTGTCTCTGTGCACCTCTGAATTATTGGCATTTGTTTGGTTTGGTTTGTTGTTTAACGCCGCACTCAGCAATATTCCAGCTATATGACGGCGGTCTGGACCAGACAATCCAGTGATTTATATCCTGAGCATCAATCCACGCAATTGGGATGGAAGACATGTATCAACCAAGTCAGCGAGCCTGACCACCCGATCCCGTTAGTCGCCTTTTACGACAAGCATAGTCGCCTTTTACGGCAAGCATGGGTTGCTGAAGACCTATTCTACCCCAGAATCTTCACAGGTCTATTGGCATTTGTAAATAATTGTAAACAATTGTAGAAATGTACTGTCCCAAATAGTGTGTATCATGCTGCATGTACGACGAAATAGATCTTACCGCGCATCAGATAACTCCAATCCTCTTCCATGTATACTTGTAGCTCTCTTGACTGGCATCCAACGGCAATTAGCACAGCCATCAATGACCCTGCGCTGGCTCCAGCCAGACGTATGATGTTTGACAAGGCTCCAATTTCCTCCAGATACTGGAATGAAACCATACTTCAACTGATGTGTATATACGCGAAAGGTAGCATGTGTCGAGTGAGTGAGTTAGGTTTAACGACGTTTTTAACCGTATTCCAGTCATATCACGGCGTGTCAGCTTAATGTGGGAGGAAAGCCCGAAGTGATGCAGGTCTCAGACGTTTACCACTTCGGTGAAACACACGAGACCGGGTATGGTGCTGACAAACCTAGAAACATAATCGGGGCGAACCGGGATTCGAACCCACAATCATAGGTTTCTGGCGATCCCAAGGGACGCAACTCTGCACAGCGAATCGCGGCGCCTTAGACGACTGGGCCACCCGTGCCCCCGAGTGAGTGAGTGAGTTTGAGTGAATGCGGCACAAAACAAGATTATGTGAATGGATCACTGGCATTCATTGAATGACACCAGGTTTACGCGAAAAGGGCAAGTTGGTCCTGCTCTACTGGTAACACCCGCTACTCACACAACTTTCAGAAAAAGGTAAGTGTTAAGCCAATTTATCGCTGCTACCCAGTCACAAATATCTATGATTGGAGATAGTATCTTGGCGCTGATTTCTTGACAACTTACTTCGGTGACATGTCACCTGCAAACAGTTTTATTGAAAGCAACTCCATATTGGTCGTATGAGGGAGGCCACAGGTACATGACCAGAAGAACAAATCATAATATGGCTTCTAACGACACCTGCTGCATTAGACACAAATGTAACACAAACTATAAATAATTGCATTCACTAGCGGAAAAGTGTAAATTGTCGAAAATGTTATGTTTTTGATCATATCAACATAATATTTGGTCATTCGTCTGACCAATGCTCAATCATTACAAAATCCTTGACGTAACCCATATTTTTGTGTGTGTGTGTATTAATGAACTGAATTTACAATGTTAATATTGAGTGAGACCACCATTCGCGTTGATACAGGCAAGGCAGCGACGGTGCATTGAAAACAGCAGATGGTTGAGTGAGTGAGGGAGTGAGTGATTGAGTTAGGTTTAACGCCGCTTTTATCAGTATTCCAGTTATATCGCGGCGTGTCAGCTTAATGTGGGAGGAAAGCCCGAAGTGATGCAGGTCTCAGACGTTTACCACTTCGGTGTAACCAACGAGCACGGGTATGGTGCTGACAAACCTAGAAACATAATCGGGGCGAACCGGGATTCGAACCCACATTCATAGGTTTCTGGCGTGCCCAAGGGACGCAACTCTGCACAGCGAATCGCGGCGCCTCAGACGACTGGGCCACCCGTGTCCCCAGAAGATGGTTGAAAACAGCGGGGGCATGTTCTTAATGTCCACCAAAGATTGCTGGCGTTGCTGGCTGGTTCTGGTCCTGTTGTAGATGTTGTTCCATCTCATGGTCAGACATGTTCTATGGGGGGAAAGGTCGAGAGAAACAGCCGCCATGGCAGCGGAACAATGTTATGCCCCCTCAAAAAGTTACAACATGTGGGCGTGCATGATGCTGCTGCAACTTGACGTTACGTCCCTGCATTTGGGTAGAACAAGATCCCCAAGGATGCCGTCTCGGTAGCGTGCGCCATTCAGCTTGCCCTTAACGATGATGACTTGTTTCTTTCTTTTCTTTGTTTGTTTTTTTAACGCCGCACTTAGCAATATTCAAGCTATATGACGGCGGTCTGTAAAATAATCGAGTCTGGAACAGACAATCCAGTGATTGAAATCATGAGCACCGATCCACGCAATTGGGATCGAAGACATGTATCAACCAAGTCAGCGAGCCTGACCACCCGATCCCGTTAATCGCCTTTCACGACAAGTATAGTCGCCTTTTACGGCAACTATGGGTTACTGAAGACCTATTCTACCCCGGAATCGTCCGATGATGACTTGTGTTTTCCAATGAGTTGTCATGCCACCCAACACCACTACACATCTAACTCAAAATTGACGACGTTGAGTAACGCAAGCTTTCACTTGGACGCATGTAGATAGACCCTTACACGACCATCAGAGCTGTCCAGATGAAACCTGGACTCATCTGTGAACAGTATACCTTCCCAGACTGATCTTTGAACCTCATATGCTGTCTACACCAAAATAGGCGTGCCTTACGGTGACGTTTGTTTGTAGTTTAACGCCGCACTCAGCAATATTCCAGCTTTTTGACGTCGGTCTGTAAATAATCTAGTCTGGACAAGACAATTTAGTGAGTGATATCATAAGCATCGGTCCATGCAATTGGGATCGATGACATGCTTTAACCTTACCACCCGATCCCGTTAGTCGCGTCGCCTCTTACAATTAGTCAATTGGTATTGTTTTGAATTCTCACCACCGGAGAATGCTTCCAACCAAATATGGTTGATATCTATCTCTCACTTCCAGAGTAGAAGTCGTTTAAATCAATATAGCCAAATTACCCCTATGTGGCGAGCTGATAAAAAGGGTGTACATCTATGGTCATGTGTATGTAATCCCATGTCACAGGATTTTGTACTACCTTCACAGCTCCGGCATGTGCAAGTCCTTTATTTCCACCTCCTTCGAACGCCAGGTTTTCGAAAGGCAAATCATATCTTCCAGGGTCGATCTTATCAAGGGTATTATCAGAATCTACCTCATCCCGTAAGTCATCTTCCTTCAACGCAGGCTCCAACTGTATCAGATGCTCGGTAAATTTGTGGCGTAACTTCTGAAATTTACATTTTTCCGTTTCCTTTTGAGAGATCTTGTTCCCCATAGTAACCGTTTCCTGACTGTCAAGTAGTAAGTGTTTATGGTTGCAAAACAGCCAACAGAGAGGGTAAAAACAATTTTTAAGTCTTAGCTGACACTGGGGAAGGGAGACCACGGGAGTCCTCAACGCTTGCTGTGATCCAGTTAAGGTAGAACTGCTAGTCAAGGGTAGTGTGAGGTATAATGGTAGCAGGTGTTTAACTGCATGTATGTGTGCAAGGTCGTGGCTGTCACCATCGTGCCTCATGTTTTTAACTTGCAATATAAGAAGAATGACGATACCGACACACACCTGAATTTAGAATGCACATACATGAGCTCTGACACCTACATGTACGTCTGTAATTCACGTATTGTGTACGACAGAATATAACATATGGTACATGTTTGCAATGTTTCCTAATGAACCGTTTTGTGATCAATTGGACTCCTGTTTCGGAAAGTGTATGAATCAATGAATGTATCACAATGCTGTCATGTACACGTGTTTCCGATCTGATGGCGTGGTGCTGCATGCAATGTATGTCACCGCCAATGAATGCTGTGGAGTCTCATTTCATGGAGTTATTGTATGTTCGTTTTCGCCCAAAAGAATCATATATTCAGTAAAAATACGCCATTACATACACCTGTCTAAATGATTTAACCAATCACTAGACATTAAAGACTGGTAGTTTGGCAGTACCAATGTTTACCCGTGAAGATTCCGGGGTAGAATAGGTCTTCATCAACCCATGCTTGCCGTAAAAGGCGACTAATGGGATCGGGTGGTCAGGTTTGCTGACTTGGTTGATGCATGTCATCGATCCCAATTGCGTGGATCGATGCTCATGATGTCAATCACTTGATTGTCTGGTCAAGACTCGGATTATTTATACAGACCGCCGTCATATAGCTGGAATATTGCTGAGTGCGGCGTAAAACAACAAACCAACCGTGTTGATCAATACTCATGATATTAATCACTGGATTGTCTTGTCAACACTCGATTATTTACAGACCGCCGTCATATAGCTGGAATATTGCTGGAGTGCGGCGTTAAACAACAAACCAATCTTTTGTGTGTAAACCTCAGGGCGTGTCTCATTTTCCAGTATTGCTGGGACAAATTAGAAATAATTTTGGCAAAATAATCCGAGTCTCCACCCCGTCCCTCCATTATCAAGTGGTCAGATCAGTTTTAGCACTATTAGTTCTCATTTCATTATTGTTTTTTTAAAGGAAATAGAGTTGTATAGTAAATTTTTGTTAATTTGTATTGTATAATTTGATTGATTGATTGGTTTGTTGTTGAACGCCGCACTCAGCAGTATTCCAGCTATATGATGGCGGTTTGTAAATAATCGATTCTGGACCAGACAATCCAGTGATTAATATCATGAGCATCGATCCACGCAATTGGGATCGATGACATGTATCAACCAAGTCAGCGAGCCTGACCACCCGATCCCGTTAGTCGCCTCTTGCGTCAAGCATAGTCGCCTTTTACAGCAAGAATGGGTTGCTGAAGACCTATTCTACCGATATTTGGTTTAATGTCATGTAGTTTATTTATACCTACATGGGTGTCCCACTTCTTCTGCATCTGATCTCGGATATATGATCCAATCACATGCTTGTAATCAGTGTATGGAATACGAAGTGGTTTCACAGATTTGTAGAGTGCTGATTCAGCTGCAGCATCATTGTGTTACCTATGATGCCAACATGGCTTCGTAACCAGGAAAAAACGATGTCGTAGTGGCAAGTAGCAAGTTCATTATATAATTCAACAATTTCGATTAAAAGTGAATGTTTGGTAGATTGATTTGTAATTGCCTGAAGACAAGAAAGAGAGTCAGAAAATATAATAAATTGTTGATGCTTTGATTGTTTATGAATGTATTTTAGTGCTGTTAATATGGCGTTTGATTCGGCTGTACAAATGGAACAGTTATCTGGTGTTCAAGATGATATAGTCATGGATCCAATAATGGTGGCACTAGCAACAGCGTCACCATCCTTGGATCCATCTGTTAATATAGATTTGTAAGTATCATATTCTGATCCCCTCCCCATTTTGCGTTTGAAACTTTTATTATATCAAATCCCTTCAGGCATTTAGTCTTTATAATATATGTTATAGGAGCACTACCCAAAACTAAATCAGGGTCCTTATGCGGCTTATATTTCCCACAAAAATGAATGCAGTTGGTCTTGGCTTTTGAAAATTTAAAGCCATTTTCAAGAGACCATTTATGAATTTTTTTTAAACACAATTGTGGTTGTCTTTCAATCGTATGCATGTTTTCACCATGACAAGAAATATTCAAATCATAAACAAATAATGATCCATCAAGTGAATCGTTTAAAACCTTTGACAAACTGTTTATCTTTATGCTAAACAATGTTTCAGACAAGATACTGCTCTGTGGGACACCCTGATCATGATTGTAATGGGCAGTCAGGGTTGAACCCACACGAACTTGAAATTGTCTCTCTTTTAAAAACTGAGATATAAATAGAGGCAAACGGACCCTTAAACCAAAATCATGTAGATCTTTTAAAATACCATACTTCCATGTTGGTTGGTTTGTTGTTTAACGCCGCACTCAGCAATATTCCAGCTATATGACGGCGGTCTGTAAATAATCGAGTCTGGACCGCCTTTTACGACAAGTATAGTCGCCTTTTACGGCAAGCATGGGTTGCTGAAGATCTATTCTACCCCGGATCTTCACGGGTCAAGGTAAATAATAAGGCGACTATGCTTGTCGTAAAAGGCGACTAACGGGATCGGGTGGTCAGGCTCGCTGACTTGGTTGATGCATGTCATCGATCCCAATTGCGTGGATCGATGCTCATGATATTAATCGCTGGATTGTCTGGTCCAGACGCGATTATTTACAGACCGCCGTCGTAAAGCTGGAATATTGCTGAGTGCGTCGTTAAACAACAAACCAACAACAACAACAATAATATTAACCTTCGCTTAGTAATCATTATTTTGAACAATTCTTTAAATTTTGATATAAAGTATCCTTCAGACATAGCTTTCTGGTGTCCCACATTGAATGACCCTGTTAACAAAGTTGTCACGCTGAATGGAATAAACAATCTTTGTTTGTCAGCTAAAGGGGATGACTACATGAAGACCCTGTCCGGGTATGAAGACAGGAAAGGGCAGCTCCTTGAGGGCATTCTGTGTGAGCTGAGGTCCCTCGGAGAGATTCAGCAGGAGAGGCTTAACCTGGAAAGACAAAAAATTCAGTTCATGCAAACTATGGACAGTAACAGCTGTCTACAATCATAAAGTTAAAAAGAATGGACCTTAATAAATATTGAAATAAAAGCAGCTTTAATCATTCTAAATAGATGGTGTTTTTTTTGTCATACTTGAAAATCTAGACTGGATGAGAAGTCTCCTGACTTGATTTCCATCATCACTAGGGGCCTGCTGATGAGCCGTGTGGTTCTCATCACCTCCTATACCAGTGTCAGGTGTGTCGTGGGGAACTGGAAGTCTCAGGCTTACTGCCAGGTTGTGACGCTGCATACATGCAGTGATGACAGCTATGCACTTTGTTGGTTCAAATAACAGGCACCCCGAGGATTTGTGCAAGCACCTGTAAAATAAGTTGTGTTTCAGAATCTGACATCACTGGCTACATTAGTAATTACTATTAATTAACACTAGTCATCCAAGAATACTTTCATGAATTAAAGAATCCCCAAAATAACATGTATATACTTACCTAAATCTTTATTTGCATACCCCAAAGTGTGGTGTTGTGGGTACCAATGTGGGCCCTATTGTACCTCTCCTCACTGGAGTTGGCTGGGGTCAGTAGATGTGGTTTACATGCACACCTGTAACAGCATGATGTATTATTTATTTTCATATCATGTTTAATTTGCATATAACAAGCCTTTTAGGAACCATTGTTTTACTTCCTACATGTCATTGTAAACATATACAGGGTAATGATAGTAACTCTTTAACATCTTTATTTTTTTCCTATTTTCACTTGCAGTCACCACTCACATATGTTATACAAATAATTCAATTTGATGAACTAGATAAAGCAAAATAGTTGATTGGAAAGGTTTCAGAGTGAGATAATATATAAGGAATCTGATTTATGGATTGCCTACTTTCATATAGACAAGTCATTATGGATATATAGGCAAGAGAACGTATGTTGAATATCATCAATGTTTTTACCCTGAATCACCAAGCAGCCATCCATCTGGTTTTTCTTCCTCCAAAGCTCTCTTCAGTGAACAGTTGTTGTAGATGTGAGCACAATGTGTTCCCCCTGGCCACAAGACAACAACACTGGTTAAACTGGAAAACATAAATTTAACAATTTTTTTATCTCCAGATACTATTTACCTATAATAAGGTTTACCGAGATAAGAAATCCCCTTCCTTAATTATTATTTAAAAAAAGAACATATTATTCATGTTAATAAATTATTATTGAAAAAAATACACATTTAGAATTAGTTTATACAATATTTTCTTCGGTATTAACATGTCTATAGAGTAAAACGTTATACATATATTACCAAAGTTCATAAGGTATGGACTATATTTTTGACTCTATTATCGACCGCCGCATATTATTACTTTATAAAGTCTTGGCAAGTGTATGTACTACATTTCCGGTAAAGGGGTCAAGGACGTGTTTATTTATAGTTACCGAAGTTTAGCGTCGCACACTGCCTGAATATTGACAGCGTGGTATCCTTTGCGTGATGCATAGGCGATCGCGACCTCGTCTACTATAGGCCTCTCTGTATAGGGATGAGGGTGCAGTCAATACATCCAAGAACCTTTGGGAAACCACAGATTTGATGGAATTCTTCCATAAGTTGTCTGTGCTTGATCAATGTGGGAAAATGTATCGGTCGGACGGTTCGGAGAATGGCGGTATCGGCAAGTACTCTGGAAACGCCATTCGTGACCAACTCGTGTTATTCCGGGACAGGCCGAATAGCGACTCGTGCCCCTCTCGTGGCCATTTTTGCAACCGGGTTCCGTCTTGGCGCAAACGGGCATACCTAAAACAATTGTCAACTCGTTGTGTAATGGTTCACACATATTTCCCCGTTTATTATATATATTTAAGATACAATTTAAAGCAGATCTGGACATGCGGACTTATACAGTATGTTTGAACACATTTAACTGTGTCTTGGGTATATTTTTAGATGCAAGACACATGTAAAATCAAATATTATTTCAGAGGGATTCTTTGACAAAGAACTTGAAATCATACGCGCATTCTGATTGGTTTGTCGTATTTTCGCACATAACATTCATCGATAGGGGGACGAGTCTTCTTGCAGGTTACGGAAAGGGGCGAGTGGTGACGAATGTGGAAACGCTTGACTTTGTAACTCCGTGAATGTCGCCGATCTCGCTGTAAAGGCCCCCTTTAGCAAAGTATCTCAAGGTACACAACACTTGGACCTCTGTAGATAGTGCACGTGAACGCTGAGTCGGTCGAGACAGCTGTTCGTCAACTCGATTCACCAGTTCAATGATGACATGTCTCGGGAAACGATATCGCGAAATCAAATCAATATCTAAAACATCTAATGCCCAGCTTCCGTCCCTGAAAACACGTTCTCTCCTGATACTATTTATGTTTA